CATTCCTCCCTCCCTCCCCCACCCCCATCCAGAATGAATTGGAACTAGCGGTCCAGTCATGAGGAGGAGCCAGAACTTTCCCACGAGGAACTCACAGCTGCTGCTGATCCTTTTCCACCTGGATCTCCTCTCAGCTCTCGCCCGTCCCCGTGTCCTCCTCTGCAAACTGTAGGTCTAGTTCTAGGTCTCGGCCTCATCCCACCGCCCGCACCAGGGCAAGGCTGGCGGCAGCGGACAGCTTGTGTTTTATATGTGCCCAGAATCCTTTCTTGTATCATAAATGATTCTGGTAGGGCTGTTAGTCATGCTGTCCCATCTCCAATCTCATCTTGTCCACCTGGAAATAATGATTGATCCAAGAGGTGAGCATGAGACCCAAGCTGGGCCAGTTAGAGCATCTCCTGAGACGGATGTGGGGATCGTGAGTGTCTCTGTTATCTACTGCTGTGTAACAACCATCCCAAGTTTACTGACTTAGGACATTGTTTTAGTTGTTCATGATTAGGTGGGTCTGGGCTGGGCTCAGCGAGGCAGCCTCTGCCTGGCCTCACCTGGGGTCACTCACACGGCTGCAGTTCTCCGGCTGCTCAGCTGTGGCCGGATGGTCTCTGATGGCCTTACTCAGTTATCTGGAAGTTAGTGCTGGCTGTCAGCAGAGCCCTGCGTCCCCAGCAGGCTGATCCAGGCTTCTTCGTGTGAAGGCTGGATTCCCAAAGCAGCAAGAGATATGGTAAGCTCCAATGTGCGAATGCGTTTCCAATCTTTGAGAGTTTTTTAAAGGTGGGAGAAATAACATACTTGCGTACTGATAAGAACGATCCAATTTCGAAGGAGAGAATGATCTGCAGGAGAGAGAAGAGAAAATTCTGGAAGAATGTCTTTGGGAGGCAAGAGAGGAGGGAACACGGGGAAAGGGTTGTTACCAACACGATAGGTAAAAAGTATATTCGTTGCAGCTTTAATTTTGATTTATCTCCCCTTGAGTGATGCTGAGAATTTTTCATTCATTTAAAAGCCACCTATACTTCCTTTCCCATGAATTTTCTGTTCGAGTCCTTTGCTAACTTGTTTTTCTAACTTTTCTCACTTGTTTTTGGGCTCGCACCAGCCAGAAAATTCTGGGAGGGCGAAGATTCTTTGTCCGTCTTACTCTCAGTTATATCTTCTGCGTGTGGTACTGTGCGTGGCACAGGGTAGGCACTCGGAAAGTATTTGTCGTAATTGAACAATGTTTAGTTGCTCTTGGTTGTCAGGGAGCTAGGCTCTTTGTCACAGTGCTGGAATTTTATAAAAATGGCAGCATTCAATATGTACTCTGCCTGCCTGGCTTCCTTCACCTGGTGTAATGATTTTGAAGTTCAACCACGTTGTTGGGTTACTCGCGGTTTATACCTTTTTATTATGGAGTAGTATTTCATTGAACGGAGATACCGTCATTTGTTTATCCATACGTCTATTGGCGGATATTTAGGTGATTTTCAGATTTTGACTATTACAAATAAAGCGACCGCAAGTATTTTTGTACAAGTCTTTGTAGAGACATTTATTTCCTTTTCTCTCGAGTAGGTACCTAGGAGTGGAATGGCTGGGTCATACGGTAAATGTATATTTAACTTTTTAAGAAACTGCCGAATTGTTTTCCGAAATGGTTGTGTTTTATTTTCCCACCATCAGCGTATGAAAGTTCCAGTCCCTCTATATTCTCACCAACACTCGATATGGCCAGTTGAATTCTAGCTCTCCGAGTAGGTGTGTAGTGGTGTCTCATGTTTTAATTTGTATTTCTCTAATTATTAATGATATCAAGCATTTTTTTGTGCTTACTGACCACTCATTTATCATCTTTTGGGAATTCTCTCTGCAAATATCTTGCCCAGGTTCTTACTGAGTTAATCATCTTGTTATTAGTCGAAAGAGTTCTTCATATAGTCTGGATATAAGTCTTCTGCCTGATGTATGTGTTCATAAGCAATTTCTTTTAATCTATGGCTTGCTTTTTCATTTTTAATGGTGTTTTGCAATGAACAAAGTTTTTAATTTCGATGAAGTCATATTTATCAGTTATTTTCCTCTTACGGTTTATGCTTACGTTACATCATAAGGATTTTTCTCCTATGTTTTATTTTGGGAGTTACATAGTTTGATGTTTTACATTTAGGTCTGTGAACTATTTTAGTTAACGTTTGTGTATGGTATAAAATAAAGGTCAATGTTTTGTTTTGTTTTCCATACGGATATCCAGTTGGTCCGGCACCATTTGTTGAAAAGACTGTCGTTTTTCTGCTAAATTTCCCTCGCGCCGTTATCAAAACCCCCTCGACCGTGTGAGTTTGCGTCCACAGTGCCATTCATACTACGTGGCAGCTGCGCTGCTTCGTGACGTTTGGGGTCTGGCAGGGCTATTTTGCTCTCCTTGCTCTTTGACAGAGTTCTCCTGGATGTTTTGTTGGTTTGCCTGCTCTAGCATTATTTTTATATGGAGATGTAATTCACTTCACATAAAATCAGCCGTTTTGAGGTGTACACTTCAGTGTATTCACCATGTCGCGAGCCATGTACCCTCAGATCCTAGAACATATACATCATCCCCAAAAGAATCTTCCTATCTATTAGCGAGTTCCCCTCCTCACCCTGTGGAAGCCACGAGTCTGCTTCCTGTCCCTGTGCATTCGCCTCTTCTGGACGTTTCATATAAATGGGAAAGAACACGTGGCCTTGTGTGTCTGCTTCTTTCACTTGGTGCAGCGTTTCCGAGGCTCGCCCGTGCCGCGATGCTTCACCCCCTTTTCACGGCTGAATCGCACCCCACCATCTGAATAGACGCATCTGTGCGCTCGCTCCTCAGTTGTTGGACATTTGGGTGGTTTGCAGTTTGGGGCTGTTATGAATAAAGCTGCTATAAACACTTATATATGAGATTTATATGAGCATATGTTTTTAATTCTCTTACATGCCCAAGAGTAGAATTGCTGGGTCACATGATAACTGCTTAACTTTTTGAGGGATACCAAATCCTTTTCCGCAGAGGCTTCACCTGTTCACCTTCCCGCCGGCCAGGTACAAGGGTTCCAGTTTCTTCACGTCCTCACCCACCCTTGTTTGTCTGTCTTGTTTTAGCTGTCGTGCCGCGTGTGAAATAGTTCACCGTGGCTTTGGTTTGCATTTCCCTGATGGCTAATGGTGTTGAGTGGCTTCTTATGTGCTTCTTGGCTGTTGTGTATCCTCTTTGGAGAAATATCTACTCAGATCTTTGGCCAATTTTTAACTGGGTTATTTTTTTTCTTGTCAAGTTGTAGGAGTTATTTATGTATTCCAAATACTAGCCCCTTTTTGGTATATGATTTGTAAATATTTCCTCTCATTCTATGGGTTGCTTTTTCACTTTCTTGGGAGGTGTCTTTTACATACAAAAGACTTTTTAATTTGGACGAAGTCTAATTTACCTATTTTTCTTTAATTGTTTGTGCTTTTGGTGTCTTAGTTTTGTGTATTAAATTTTTTTAAATTAGTTTTGTGTATTAAAGTTTTTAATTGTTTGTGCTTTTGGTGTCTTAGTTTTGTGTATTACATTTTTTTCATGTAAACTTTGGAATCACCTTATCTTGTTCTAAAACTTTTGTTGGTATTTTTAGTGGAATGGATTGATTAATTTAGGGAGAATTGTGATCTTAAGGGCGTACTTTTTATCAAAGACTAGGATATGTCTTTTCATCTACCCATGCCCTACCTGTATTCTTCAGTAATGTTTAAAAAATTTGTTTCACGTAGAGCTTATACTTTTCATTCAGTTTATTTCTAGGTACTTATCTTGACTTATTATTATAAATTACTCCAATGTTTAAATGCCAATGACTAAGAAAAGTATTCGAAATAGTATTTCAAACTATTCAATGGTCCAAATTCAGGCCAAGTTCAGATCTGCAAACTCAGATCTACTCCAGCAATTTGTTTTAGAGACAAGGACTCTGTAGTCTAGAGATGTCGAGTGACTTACTCCGGGCCACACAGCAAGTAGACTGCAGAGATGGCGCGGAGGCCTGGGGATTGTGCCTCTGCGTTTAGCCTGGCTGAACCAGAGCTCCGCCGTCTCACCAACGCCATGAACGTCCGAGTCTAGGAAAATGGCGGTGTTCTTTCATGCTTCGGGCACCCGTATTTGTCTAGGGACCGACTTCACCCATCAAGATAGGAATTAGATAAAAATTAGATGCAAATTGGAGAAAAACAAGAGAGAGAAATGAAACAGTGATCAAATGAGAGCAAACGCCACATTCAGGCAGGTAGAGACACACACACACGCACACACACACACACACACGTGCGCGCACACACACACACACACCCCAAGCCCTCAAACCCCCAGAGCTTCCTGCCTGTGAATCGAAAGGGGGTGTGAGGTGCTTGGCCCCGCGGGCTGGTGCCTGTCTTCTCAAAGGCCCACGGTCTCCACTTCCTGAGGAGGCAGCACAGAACAAAGCCCGCAGAGACTCCCTGCCCTTCCTTGTCCCAGCCTCGGCGGCCACAGCCCCTGCCAGCCGGCGCTGTCCTGGAGGAAGGGGCGAGATGAAGTGGACGGTGCTTGTGGCCACGGCCGTCCTGCAGGCTCGGCTCCCAGCTGCAGGTAAGGCCGGACTTGTCCACGCGAGGAGCTTCGAGAACCTCCTGGTGCCTGTGTCGGGGGCGGCGGGCAGTGGAGGAGTGGCGAGGAGCTGGTGTCCCCTCAGAATCCCGTCCTTCCAAAATCGGTGGGCGGCTGAGCGGGGAGGGGTCCGGCGTGGGCCATGTCACAGCGCGTTGGGTGGCGGTTTGGAGGCTTGTGAACACACCTGCCCAAGTGTGGGTCTTCAGGAGGGAGAGAGACCAGGAGGGCAGACCCGGGAGGACGATGCAGACGAGCCCCTGAGGCCGGCCCAGGGTGGACAGCGGACAGGGCGCTTAACAGAAGCCAGGGTGGTCGGAAAATGTTTCGCGCGGCGACATCTTCCTAATGCCTGCGTCTCCCACCCGCCCGCTGGCCCTGTCACCAGGCCCTTTCTTTTCCTTTTGCCAACCAAGAACAATTCGCTTGCCAGTCAGGCAGGGTGATGGCTGCGGCCCTGCTGGGCTTGAGACACCTCGCTGGGCCAGGGACCACGCGGGGTTGATGAAGGAGGGTGGTGGCCTTCTGCGGGGTCCATGCTGGGCTCGGCTCTGTCATGGCCACCCCTGAGCCCTGTGACACACCCATACAAGGCTCGGGGGCCCACCCCGGCAGCTCTGTAGCAGGCCAAAAGCCTGAGATGCCGGCAGAACGCTGGGGACAGGGAGAGGATGTGACTTGTTGAGTCGCCACCATGAGTGACAACCAATCATCGGGAGAACTCGCTCTTCACCTCGCTCCAGTTCACGGGGGTGAGGCTTTCCTAGAAGCTGTTCGCCCCCGCCATGTTTTAGCCCAGATAACAAGGGGCGAGGGGAGGACAGGGTGGGCCGTGTGGGCGACCGGCATCGCGCAGTTACGGGAGACGGGACAAGCCGCGTGGGGATCCGGAGGGACGGGAGGGGGTCACCGCGGCGCCCTGTTCCTGCCAGGGCCGGGGGGGGTTCCAGGACCGAGTGCTGCTGGGTTTTCTGTAAGGTCACAGCTGTCTTCTCAGATGGCCTCGCTGGGCGTGAGTCACCGGCACTGCGGGGTGAGGACGCCGGAGCCAGCCCAGGGCGGCCCGTCCTTGTGTGCAGGGGCCCAGGGGACCCGCGATGCCACAGCGGCCTGTGAAGTCAGTGCTCGGGGACAGTGCCAGGCAGGGGAGACCAGCCCACGTGGGGTTTCCTCCCAGGTCCACAGGGGCCCAGGCAGGGGCGACACGGGGCTGGCGGCGAGACAGAGAGCTGCTCGGGCGCTGCCGGCTGCCGAGCGCACAAGGCCCCACCCAGCAGCCGGGTGGGGGCCGCGCCCCACTTCCACGCCGGGCAGCGGGGGGCCGGGGACTTCAGTTCACCTTCCCGTGAATTCCACTCGCAGGTGTGGAGACTGAAATTTCAGCTCCTTTTAGGCGTGGCTCCCAGACAAAAGCGTTTAGAAGTGTCCGGGCCCGGCCCTGCTCGGGGAGGGGAGGGGAGGCTCGGAGGCTGGGAACCGCCAGGGCCTGAGAGGTCGCCTCCGCGATACCCCGGGGGAGCCCGCCGGTGGGTCATGGGGGTCCCAGGGGGCGCAGTGTCCTCTCTCTTCCTGCTCGGTGAGGTCGCCCTTCCCCAAGCTCTTTCTTGAGACTTTTCCGCCTGCATTTCCTTGGAAAGGCCCAGATCGTTAGGGTCCACGCAGGCACCGGCCTAGCCTGCCTGCCTGAGGTCCCCCGGCTGAGAGTCGGCCAGGGCGGCCACCGTCACCAGGTCTGAGGCTGGAAGAGACTAAGATGGCGTGCCCAGTGCCACCCTCAGCTCCCCGGTGCCTCTGACTCCCTGCCTCACAGTGGCCGAGGATTCACGCGGAGGGCCGTGTGGCCTCTGTCCTTTGTCCAGCGAGGAGGTGCAGCTCTGACACAGGCCCCGGGAAGTGGGGGCTCCCGGGCTCGTGGGCGGCTCTGCCTTCAGGGAGGGCAGAGTCGGGCCAGTCACAGCACGGCCACCTTCTTGGCTGTGCGACCTCAGGCCGGCTGCTTCACCTCTCTGGGCCCCTGTTGCCTCTGGGTGAGGATAACCAGCCCTGCAGAGCTGTGAAAACGAGAAGTGCTTCATGAAAGACGGCCCGTGAGGCCAAGTCGTGAGTCCCCGCTGCGATCACCTCGGCCCGTTTCCTTGTCCTCCGCGCCCAGGAGCAGGAGACGGGACCCAAGTTTGGAACTGTGCGGCCCTGGGCCTTTTCCCCAGCTGTTGAGACCCAGCTCATTCTCCTTGGGTCTCTGAGCATGGCCTGCGGCCCAGGAACATGGCGGGCTCCATCCGGCGGTAGGCCCGGTCGTGAACGAGGAGCAAAGCTTTGGCAGATCTTAGGATGAGAGTTCCAGCTACCGTGTTTATTTTTTTTTAATTTTCTTTTTAACGCCTACAGCACCTCGTCCTCCTAGATAGTCTCCCATCCAAGTACTAACCAGGTCCGACCCTGCTTAGCTTCTGAGATCAGATGAGATCGCCGTGTTTATTTTTTTAAGACATTCGTTCTGTAGAGATAATCCCCCAAAGTGAAAACATGCCTGAAAAATACATAAGGCCTTTGGGGGAGGAAGGCAGAGACCCCGCGCCCCTGGTCGGCAACGGCCTGGGCAGCCACCCAGTTTTCACAGCGGTGGTGGTGTTGGGGGCGCATTGTGCAGGGTGTCTGAGGGCAGGCGCCCTGAGCAGCAGGGTCTCCGTGAAGCTGGGTGGAGCTGGAGTGGAGGGGTGCTTTTAAGCTATGCCAGGACAAGCTTTTCATCGTAGGAATTGCCACCAGCGGTTTGCGTCGGCCTGCTTCACTTGGCTCTGCTCGTGTGGGCGAGCCCCCAGCTCCATGCCCTGGCACTTCTGAGATGCTGGCCTAGGGACCGCATCTGCTGCCGGGAACGCCCGCCCCCCAGAAACAGTCCTGGGGGGCTCCTGTTAAGGGAATGACCACCGCTGTGTTCAGTTTAAAATCCTTTCCATTTTGCCTGTGTCGTTAAAAAGTTAGATTTGACTTTTATTGGACGTTCCCCTGAGCCCATTTACCTGTGGGTCAGCTAACTGATTAGGTAAACAGCAAGGCCGGTTCAAAATACATGTCTCCTCTGCTTGGGCCAAGGCTGGCTTTTAGTAATGCGGAAGTGATGGTAGATTTAATCAATTTGAGCAAATATTCCACCTATTTGGTTGAAATATCATTAAACCGCTCATTTGACCTGTTAGTTGAGACAAAAGGATCAGTCACTGCGTGTCCAGAGCCATTTCTTGCAGCCTAAAATCACGTCTGTGTCCCTCGAGGGAAAGGACGCCCCGGAGTGACTCTCAAATGTGTCCCAGCACCAGCTCGGTGCCCGGAGCAGGGTCCACACGCGACAAGCATTCCTGGCTGGTAAAAGCTGGGTGAATGAAGGAAGTGTAGACATCGCCATGCGACTAAGTTATCGCCAATGGTCTATCTGGGGCGGGTTTACTGGACCTTTGGACCTTTTCTCTAGAGAACTCGATATTAAGCAAAGTCCTTTCAGAAAGGAGAGAGAGAAATTAAATGGTGGAAAGGACAGAGCGGTCTGACGGACAGAATGATTCGAAATAGTTGCAAGGATGGTTTAAGAGGAAATCCTACCGTTCTTAAAATTTTCTGGTTGGGGCATACGAAATTTCCGATTTTCATTTATTTCGGACCTACGGAAAATGGTAATTTCATAGGATTCGACTAGCATCTCAAAAATAAATAAAGGTGCTCATTTTTCTGACTTGGCTTTAAAAATAGGGAAAAACAGAAAATAGAGAAGGCTGTCACCACTGGAGATTGTTAACCAATGAACCCATAAGCTAATGAAAAACACCAAGGAGAAAAATAAGACTTTGTGGATTTTAGCGTAAGTCACATGATGCAGTTGTACCCACTTGCCCAAATGCCTCAAAATATGGAGAGAAAAAGAAAGCGGGCAATCTAACCATTTCAGTTCAGTCTGGTCTAAGTTACTAAATAAACATTTTATGTAGCTATCACTTTTACCCTCTCTTAATTTGAGGTGTTTCAACAAAGATACCATAACAATCATTGGAGGAAGTTATAAATTTTTTTAAAACCTATAATCTTACCAAACTAACCCAATAACTTTTCATTTTCACTTTACATTTCTTTCCGACATTTTTAACAAGTATATACACATCTTTAAATAGTTGCTGTTATGAAAATGGTTTCGTGTGCTCCCCCCACACACAGAATGTTGTGACTTTTTTCCAGCCCAGCCATCGTGATTGCTCTTCATTGCTATGTAACCTTCCAGAGGTCACTTGTCATAATTTCTTCACTATTTCTTTATCGTGGGACATATGGGCCGTTTCTGACTTTTGTTATTATAGCTAATCCTGTGAGCAAATCTTTACGTGTGTAGCTTTAAAAATGTCTTGCGGATTACTTCCTCGGGCTGGCTTCTGCAGGACTGACGATGAAAAGTTTGGACTCAAAGGACAATCCTCAGGGCACTTTAGACTTCTGTGAAAAGCCACCCTGTCAGGAAGGAGAGTTTCCCCCCAGCTCTCCGTGAGCCTCTGCGGGCGTTTCTGTGTCCTCCGGGGCAGGCCGCACGGTGGGGGACAGAGGCGGCCTTGGAGCTGGAAGGGCCAGGGTCCGGGTCCAGCTTCCTCCCCAGCCTGTCGCCGTCGGGGAGTGGCCCACCCTCGGACCCTCCTCTGTAAGATGGCGGTGTCGGCTGCCTCGGGCAGAGGAGTGTAGGGAGGAGGCACCGTCAACGAAGCACGGCAGCCGTTAGCACGCGTGCCTCAGTTTCCCAGCCCGCGCCAGAGGAAGATCGTCGCTTTCCCAATGCGACGCAGTGGAGACGTTCGTACCAACCTCTTTCTTTTCCCTCCCTGGTCGCTGAACTGCGTGCGGTGTCAGCTTGGGCAGCGACCTCTCCCTGAGCTTTAGTTTTGTCGTCTGAGAGATGAGAACAGAGAGGGCGAAGCATCCCTCTCGGCTACCGAGTGACTTGCGCA